ACCAATCATAGCAATCACTCATAACTATAGCACTGACCTAACAGGTCACTAACATATTTATCCCTACGGATCATAAAAGCATAACATACTGTCTATCCTGATTCCGATCTAACAGATCATATCCATATGTAGCATACCATCACGATAACAACTAAAAAGAGTCGGCCTTAGTGCCTTAGACACTATCGATATAGTGAGGATAACTCACCTCGCAGATGTCGACTCGGTAGATAAATCCCCACTCTCGAATCACTTGCCACAGGCTCCACCACCTATTACCATAGCACAATATACTCATAAGTCCTTAACCTTATAAGGTACTCCATAACCTACTAGTCAACCCCTGGTCAAAGTCAAAGTCCTCAGTCAAGGTCAACAGTCCATGTTGACCTTAACTCGCCGAGTACCCTCGGCTACTCGTCGAGTTCCTCGAAACACTTTCCAACTCGCCAAGTCATCGAGGTGACTCGTCGAGTTCCTCCGATTCTCGATCAAACCTTAAGGCCACCCGTCGAGTGTCCTTCTTGCAACTCGACGGATACACACGCATACATATCCTGGAGAAAACTCATCCGACTCGCCGAGTTGTTCATCCAACTCGTCGAGTCTACGGCGATCTTCATCGGACTCGCCGAGTTATTCATCCAACCCGTCGAGTTCAATGCCTATCTTCATATGACTCGCCTAGTCGACTATGCGACTCGCCGAGTCTCTTCAGCCCTTTAACCATGCAGACACTTTCTAAGCCATGCCAAGGCCCCAAATTGCAGATCCAACTTCCTTAGGCATGCTTATCACGTAAAGTTGCAAACTTTACGTGCATGCAAGGCTTTAAGACCCTAAAATGGCACAACTAAGATTGCAATGAAGTCACATCCTTGAGAGAAGGCTCATACTAGACAAGGCTGATGGCTTTATGAATCCAGAAGCCAAGGGGAGTCCAGATCTGAAGTTACAACTTCAGATCTTGGCTTAATCTCAAGAGTCCTTTTCTAAACTTATGCACAAAAGGGTTTAGAAGAGAATGAGCCAAGGGAAAAACGATTTAATACCTTTAAGAGAGCCCTTTCTGATGCAGAACTTGAAACCCACAACTCTTGCTTCAACTAGCTTGCTTCCCAAGAGATTCCCTCACCAAAGATCTTCCTCCAAGCTTAAACTTCCAAAGAATACACACACACTCAAGTTAGGGTTCTTCTGGACTCTCAATGGACTGCAAAGAGGCCAAAGGAGGCTTATGATTCTTTAAATAGGGTGCAAAACCCCGGGATTTAGGGTTTCATCTGCCAGCTCCTACTCGTCGAGTCCCTTAATGGACTCAGCGAGTAGGTCACTAAACACACGCATCAAACCCGCTGCTACTCAACGAGTAGGTCAACCAACTCGTCGAGTAGGACTTAAAACCAAATAACCTTTTATTTAAATCCATACCTGTAATCGGGGCGTTACAAGTATTTGTCCCAAAGTCTCTTTTCTACTTTTGTCCTCTTGAAATTTCTTTTACGGAAGGAGATTTCACTACGTTTTAAAGGATTCATTTTCTATCTTGAAAAATTGCTTAATGAGAAGTGTAGTGATGTCCCAAAGCCTATTATGTTAGTTTGCTCATGCTGCTTTTGGTAATGATGCGAGGATCAGTGTGTATATTGAGCGTCACAATGAACCGATACCTTACTAGATTCATGAAGATGTAGGATCTCAATTGAACGACAGACAAGTGCAAAATAATAAATATCATGAAGTTTATCCGATCATAAAACTAATAAACAACTATCAGTAATCTGATAGTTTTATAGATAGAAAGAGAGAATGTCGTTGATGGCAGCGTTTCCGGATAGAAAAAAGGTTGTTGATCATAGTGGTTTTGGAAAGAAAAAAGAAGGTTGATAACTAGGCGGTGAGTTTTTAGGATATTGGTGGATTATTTTCTAACAATCTAAAATAGAAAAAATAAATAAATAAATAAATAAATAAAAATGAGTAAAATGGAGATTTTAGATTAAAAACATGCAACAAATTGAAAAGACAGAGACGAACAAGAAAAGATAAGTTGACCCCCACGACTAAATTTAATTTATTAATTAATTAAATCAGCATTGTTGGTCCTCTTATGAAGTATCTAACTTAAAACCAACAAAATATTTAGGTTGTGTTTAGTTACGGAAAAACAATTTTCATTTTCTGTTTTTCGTTTTCCTTTTTCAGTTTTCGTTTTCGGTTTTCATTGGAAAATTTAGAAAACGCGTTTAGTTAAAACTTATTTATTTTTCATTTTCAGTTTTTGAAAATTAGAAAACGTGTTTAGATGTGTATTTTTCTATCGGTTTTCATTTTTACAAAACGGTAGTGGTGATAGGGTGGGCGTGGGGCAGTGGTGGTGTCGATGATGGCGACGGTGATGGTGGTGGTGGTGGTGGCGGTTGTGGTGATGACAGGAGGTGGTAGTGACGGCGGCAATTGTGGCAGTGGTGGTGATGGCGGCGGTGGTGGTGGTGATGGCGACAATGGTGGTAGTGGTGATGGGGTAGTGATGGTGGTGTGGGCGTGAGTGTGAGTTTGTGGGGGGGGGGATGTGCTTGTGGGGGTTGGTGTGTGTGTGTGTGTGCTTGTGGGGGTGTGGGTGGGGGTAGGTGTGTATGTGTGTGGGTGTCTGTGGGGGGTGGGGGTGGGTGTGTGTGTGTGTCTGTGGGGGTGTGTATGTGTGAGTGTGTTTGTTTGTGGGGGTTGGTGTGTATGTGTGTTTGTGTGTGTGTGGGGGGGGGGGGGGTTGGTGTGTGTGGGTGTTTGTGTGTGTGTGTGTTTGTGGGGGTGGGGGTGGGCTTGAGGGTGTTAAGGTGAGGGTAAGTAGAGGTGGAAGGGGTTGGGAGTGGGTGTTTATATTTTAGAAAAAATTTGGAATTAGAAAAATGTGGAAAACAATGATTATCGGTTTTTCAAAAATTTCCAACTTCTTTGTAATTTTAGAAAACGGAAAATTTTCATTTTCCGTGAAAAATTTAGAAAAATAGACGAACTAAACGCGTTTTCAAAATTTTCATTTTTCTTGGAAAATTTTTCCGGAAAACGACTCATTTTTCCGCAACTAAACGCACCCTTATTCTTTCTGTCTTTCACCTATTTTGTTTTTCACGGAGGTTTTTTTATCTTTCCACTGAAAAATATAATATATTGACCATTATACCCTTATCTCTAATTTTCCATTCATAAATAGAGAGAAATCCGTGTTTTTCTTTCCAACGTATATTAAATCCCAAACCATTTGCAAGTGCCATCGGAAGTCGATACCAGATAAGCTAAGCGAATTCTTCTTGCAACTGTTTATAAGATAACTCTATAGGGACAGTAGACGATGTCGATTATTCCAAGTTTCTTCCCAGCACATCTTCGATCCTTTTTCACTCGAAATCTGGGACCTTTTCATAGATTTCCTGATTTGATCTGCGTTTGATATCTCAAGAGAAACCAACGCTCATGTAAACACACGTGTAGATTGGAAGGAAACCCTGTAAGTCTATCTATCTAAGGTCGATCTACCTAGGATCAAGAAAGAAGAAGTCAAGGCGGAGGTAGAAAGCAACATGATTCTACAAATCAGAGGCAAGAAAAATGTTGAGAAAGAAGATAAAAACATACATGGCATCTTGTCAACCAAGCAGTGGGAAGTTCACCGGAAGGTTCACGTTGCCAGAGAATGCTAATATGGATCAAATGAAAGCAACCATGGAAAACAGAGTGCTCACGAAGTCACGATTATTGTACCCGGGGAAAAAGTGAAGAAGCCATATGTCAAGTCCATTAAAATTTTTGTTTAAAAAATCCACCGGTCTATAAAGTTGTACATGATTAAGGTTGTATATTGTTTAGTCCGGTTGGCTGTGTTTGTTGTGTGTGTGTCAATAATTCTGGTCTTTTTGTTTGGCTTGTCCATCATGTGCTTGATGAAATGCATAGCAAGACTGATATATCAATAACATGATAACCTGATATATCAATAACATGATAACCGCATCTTTAAGATCTTGTTTGGTATACGGGTGATCGAGAAGAAATGAGAAAAATCTTGTTTTGTGGGCTGAAGAAGCGTCGGCTGAAGATGCAGCCTAAAGGGGGGAAGAAGTGTTTCGTCCGTCCTGCCTCGTTTGGAGTTTCCAAGCCTTGGTCATGAGTTTTTGGAAACAAAACTGCATTTCTTTCTTTTTAAGTATTTACAAATTCAAGTAGGGGTATAATAGTCAATATGTAATCTTTTGGTGGATGAATCAAAAAATTAAGTGGAAAAATCAATACAAAAGATGCTTTGATCTCATTCTCACTATCCATATTCATTGTTCAACGACGGAGTTCTCGGACTTTTTAGATTTTTTACGCCCGAATTTCGATTCTTCGGACAAGTCACAAGAAAGAAATATTTTTGATTAATTCGATCGGAACTCGGAAGGGTTCAATTTCGATACGCGTCAAATACATTGTTTCAATCTTCCCCAATTTCTTTCTTTGCGTTCTCTTACCAGTCATACACGTTGTTTTCAGCAGCCTGCATTTTAAATTTTTTAATTGGGCAGCCTTGCACTTCAAGACTTGAATAGGATTCGTTTTTCTATAATTACTGAATGGAAGTAGACAATTTTACCTTCTCCATTATTGTAATCCGATTTTTCCATCTTCTCCTGCATTTCGCAAGTCCCATTTCTTTTACGAGTTCAAATCTTGTGGGTTTATCAGCACATCCTATTGAACCTATTCTTTCAAGTCGTCGATCCATTAGAGCTCTCTATAGATCAAATTCCTCAAACGGATAGTTTTTGATTTGCCATTTTAAGCTTCCAATTTCTCAGATATAAGTTGACCCACCATTTGTTTGATCAAATGTCTCTGTGAAATCAAGACTTGGAAAAACTTGATCTTGCACGATCTTGTGAAGTGGTATCCATCACAGTTCTTTGATCTTATAATTCCTCTCCAACGTCTCCATAAAATTGAAGTCTGATCTTCTTTTTAAGATGGCTGAAACACCTTACGACGGATCGCAGCATGGACAGAGTGTACAGATCATCCCATTCAAGACCTCCGATGCATCTCTCAGAGTTCTATTACTACACGGGAATCTAGATATATGGGTGAAAGAGGCGAAAAACTTACCAAACATGGATATGTTTCACAACAGATTAGGTCAAATGTTTGGGAGGTTGCCATCACTCACCGGAGGAAAGACCAAGACCGAGGATGGTAGACCTGAAAAGGTCACCAGTGACCCATACGTCACCGTTTCAATAGCTAATGCTGTAATCGCAAGAACCTTCGTCATAAGCAACAGCGAGAACCCTGTTTGGATGCAGCACTTTTATGTCCCTGTCGCACATTATTCTGCTGAAGTACAATTTGTAGTCAAGGACAGTGATGTCGTAGGTTCCCAACTCATAGGGGCAGTTGGTGTCCCAGTTGAACAGTTAATTTCTGGTGCAGTTGTCGAAGGCACCTTCCCAGTTCTTAACGAAAGTGGGAAACCATGTAAACCTGGAGCTGTATTGACTCTTTATCTTCAATACATACCAATGTCAAGAGTACCCTTAGACCTAGAGTTTAATGGTGTTTCAGGCACATATTTTCCTCTAAGAAGAGGAGGCAAAGTTACCCTTTATCAAGATGCTCATGTGGATGATGGTTACCTTCCAAATATGCAACTGGATGGAGGTTTGATGTATGGAAATGGAGATTGTTGGCATGATATCTGTGAAGCTATCAAGAATGCACGTAAGTTGATTTACATTACAGGGTGGTCTGTGGTTCATAGTGTTCAGCTTGTTCGCAATGGTGAAGGTGGAAAAGATAGCATATTGGGTGATCTTTTGAAAGCTAAGTCTTCAGAAGGTGTTAGAGTGCTTCTTCTTATATGGGATGATCCTACTTCTAGAAGCATTTTGGGAATAAAGACTGTAAGTGTGTTGTTTATTTTATTTTCACTACATTACAATAATACAATTACATTCTACCTATTATTAGGATACATTTTTTTTTGTAGCAAGGTGTGATGGGAACTAATGATGAAGAAACTCGGAGGTTTTTTAAGCATTCTTCAGTGAAAGTACTACTTTGCCCCCGTTCTGCTGGGAAGGGGCATAGTTGGGCCAAGAAACAGGTATTAATTGAATTCATATTACATATATAATTAATCTTTTATCATTTTCTAGTATTTTGTATTGAATGTGTGTTACAACTTACACAGGAGGTTGAAACCATATATACACATCATCAGAAAACAGTGATAGTGGATGCTGATGCTGGAAACTACAGAAGACGAATAATGGCATTTGTTGGAGGTCTTGATTTATGTAATGGGCGTTATGATACACCTGGACATCCACTTTTCAGCACTTTACAAACTTTGCATAAAGATGACTATCACCAACCTAATTACACTGTAACAATCTCTTAAAATCATTTCATTTTTATTTTCTTAGAATTTGAATTATAAGGAGGAGGTTTGATTTGATGTGAAACAGGGAGCTACTACTGGTTGTCCAAGAGAGCCATGGCATGATTTGCATAGCAGAATTGAAGGTCCAGCAGCATATGATGTGCTCAAGAACTTTGAGGAAAGATGGTTGAGAGCTTCAACGCCACATGGGATTAGCAGAATCAAGAAATCTTCTGATGATTCGTTACTTCAAATTGATAGGATTCCTGATATAGTAAGAATTGATGAAGCCCATTGCACAAATGAATGGGATCCAGAGGGCTGGCATGTCCAGGTATATATATATATATATATATATATATATATATATATATATATATATATATATATATATATATATATATATATATATTTCTTCTTCTTTTTCATCAACCTTTTAAGGCCTGTGTTTTTCCCTTTTAAATGTTTGAATGATGTGTAGGTGTTTCGTTCAATTGACTCCAACTCTGTTAAAGGTTTTCCTGATGACCCCAAAGATGCCACAAGCATGGTATGATAATAGGAAGAAATTATAGTAATAAACAAATTAATGAAAGTACATTTTTATTTCTTTGATTTAACATTTCTTTATTTTGCTACACTGAAACAGAACCTGGTATGTGGGAAGAATGTGTTGATAGACATGAGCATACATACAGCATATGTGAAGGCGATTCGTGCAGCTCAACATTTCATATATATTGAAAACCAATACTTTCTTGGGTCTTCATTTAATTGGAGTAATTACAAAACTTTGGGTGCAAACAATTTAATACCAATGGAAATCGCTCTAAAAATTGCAAATAAAATTAGAGCAAACGAGAGATTTGCTGTTTATATCGTCATTCCAATGTGGCCAGAAGGTAGCCCTACAAGTACAGCTGTTCAAAGAATTCTTTTTTGGCAGGTAAGATAGCAGATTCTAATTTTTAAACTTTATACTTATCAAAATTAATTAACTAAATATTATAATAATAAACATTTTGTTACAGAATAAAACAATGCAAATGATGTATGAAGTAATCTACAAGGCTTTACAAGAAGTCGGACTCGATAATCTCTACGAGCCTCAAGATTACTTGAACTTTTTCTGTCTTGGCACTCGTGAGTCCTCCAATGGCGTCGAACCAATTTCGGAAGAAAAAGGGTCAAATTCCGCAAATACCCCTCAAGTACATTCCTTTAATCTTCTTCTTCATCGTGTCACTTTTTCTTGATTATTTTATTTGTGACAACTGATAATATATAATATTTTTTTTATTTGTACAAAAAAAAAAAAAAGTCGCTTAGTAGGAAGAGTCGGCGATTTATGATATATGTACATTCGAAAGGAATGATAGTGGACGATGAGTATGTGATATTGGGATCTGCAAACATTAATCAACGGTCGTTAGAAGGTTCTAGAGACACTGAAATCGCAATGGGTGCGTATCAGCCTTATCATACATGGGCACATAGACGATCCAGCCCACATGGCCAGGTAACTAACATTTCTTTATTTTCACGAAAATCAAAATATGAAGAACCAATTTGTGAAAAATAAAATGTTTTTGTTTTTTGTTTTTTTTTTGTTGCAGGTATTTGGATACAGGATGTCGCTTTGGGCAGAGCATATCGGTGGATTGGAGAGTGGTTTTGAGAGAGCAGAGAGCATCGAGTGTGTTCGGAGGGTGAGAATGTTGAGTGAATTGAACTGGAAACAATATGCTGCGGATGAAGTGAGTGATATGAAGGCTCACCTTCTCAAATATCCGGTTGAAGTTGATCGGACCGGTCAGGTCAACCCGCTTCCCGGTTGCTCAACTTTCCCTGATTTGGGTGGTAATATTGTCGGCACTTTTTTCGCCATTCAAGAAAACCTCACCATTTGAATCTCGTGGAAAAAATAAAAAAACCTCACTTTTTGTTGTATATCTGTACTCTCACATGATAAAACAAAATGATCTTGGCTATTAGATTTAGCTAGTTTTGGTGATTCTTGAAATGCTATATGGAAGGATTAGGATTTTGGATATGTGTGATGTTTGGAATTCTTAAAGACTTGGATTATATGATTATGAGTAGTAATCTTTTTAACTTTTTTCATATTTTTATTTTGTGGGTTGATGTTATGTGTAGTTTGGCCTTCGGGATAAGTATTTGTATTTGAGGATGTTTAAGCGAATCAGGTTTACAAGTTTGTTAAAGCTGTGTTTTTGGTTTAGGACGGCCAATATTTGTGCAAACCTACAATCAATTATGTCTACCAATTGTACACTGCTCATGAAAACAAAATGAGTTCCTTGGAATGCTAATATCGATTGTATGCATTAGCTTTGGGCATTTTGCTCTTACGTATGTTATGTTTAATACATGTGAAGTGATCATAAATAACCGACCATATATTAAATATATGGTGTGTGATTATGTAAGGAATTCAAAATTTAAAGGGTATTTATTTGTAATTAGATCATATACATAATAGTTTGTGATATTAATATAGTTATATGCATGCAATCATTCAAGATTTTCAAGACACTATAATAAATACTATAAAGTATTTTCTAATTTTCACTCTTTTAACGATGTGTTTTATGGGACTGTTATACATACCCAATTTTATACACATACTCTCTTAATCATTGATTTATTAATGACACATTTATCTATTATTTATTTTTTGCAGCCTTTTTATTGTTTTAGCCAATGAATAAAAAATTGTTAGTTTCAACACATTAAAGAATGTGTTTTGTACATTATTTCCAAGATGCAAAAACTTGGCCAACAAATCTAGGTAATCTCATTTCCATCTGTTATTATTTTATTATATTATTTAACTCTTTGTAACCTTAAACGGATTCCATGCCCATTGAAGAATGTGCTTTTTAAAATCAAGTCATAAAATTCCCATAAAAAGCGCTTCAAAAAACATATCATAATTTTGCTAAAATATAAACAATTTTACAATAGATTTTAGTAATAAATAGTAATTTTTTTGTCGTTCAAAAAAAATCTAATATGTTTTAGTCATTTTAATGGTTTAACTAATGTATTTTTGTTTCGTTAATAAAAATCACATGGATTTGGCAGTTTTTATCTATACCATCAATTTTAGTCTATTATAAAAATGTTAAAATAGTAACAATCGTTTTTTTTTATTGATAAACTTCAGTAGTTTTAGTATAAAATTTGATATTAACATTTGACATTAAATATAAATAAAATTTAAAATAATTATTACTTTAATATGTTATAAAAGGTTAAATTAGTAATAATAATTCCTTTTATAAAGTTTAGTGGCTTCAGAACAATTCAAACATTTTAATCTGTTATAACTTATCTATTGAATAAATAAAATAAATAATATTTCAGTAAATAGATTTATAAATATTAACTATTCATATATTAAAAAAAAACTATTAATTATAAATATATTAATAAAAAGTATGTAATCATAATCTAATTATTAAAATTTATAATAATTAATATAAAGTATGTCATTATCTAATGATTAAAAATTAATCAGTAAAGGTTATTGTTAAGTAGAAAGGGGGTATGGATAATACCTCGTTTTCTTTTATACCGACAATCATTCAAGATGGGATACAAACTTTTTTAAAATAGTTATATGCACACAATCATTAAAGTAGTTTTTGTTGTTCCTTTTTATCGTAACATATTTTCACTTTTTCACTTTTTTATTGCAATGTACTTCTTGTTTTACATTTTATACCAAGATATTTTTTTAAATTTATGGTTAACCGGTGTTAACCATTAACCAACTAAAAATCGTTAACCAAAATCAATACTAATAGATACCCAAAGAATACTAAATCTATTAACCAATTATAATGGTTATGGTCCGACTTTGACCAATAACCGAATCAAACCGTCTCACAAACACCCTACTATGTGGTGTGGTGCGGTTTTTAATGTTAGCTTTTAGCAAAGACAAAACACCTTTTGATACAACAGGTTTCAAGCAGAGCAAGTTTTAGAAGAAAGAGTAACTGACACACAAAAGTGTTTTCTGCATATATCAAAAGTAACGAAAGCTACATAGCATAAAAACAGAAGTAAAACTAAAAAAGAAAACTGCTGCTACCTAGAAACATAAAGAAACATAAAGAAAATAACTGAAGAATAACAGAAGAAAATAACAGAAGAAAATAACTGAAGAATAACAGAAGGCTTGCACGTGACTGCTTGACCAAGTTGATATTGTTCTCTTTTAACATTCCCTCTCAACATCAACTTCTACTATACCCATCTTGTCGCCAAACTCAACCAGTTTTGCACTTGATAAACTCTTTGTGAGCAGGTCTGCAACCTGATCAACAGTGTTTACATATTTAAGGTCAATTTCCCCTTTTAAGACCTTTTCTCTGATAAAATGATAATGAACTTCAATGTGCTTGGTACGTGCATGAAAAGTAGGATTATGTGCAAGCTTGATTGATGACATATTATCACAAAGCAGCGGAATACTATAGTTAACTTTTGGTTCAAATCCTTTAAAAGTTGCACAAGCCACACACATTCCTGAGATGCTACTGCAGCAGCTCTATATTCGGCTTCAGTTGTGGAAAGAGAGACTGTGGGTTGACGCTTGCTACACCAAGATACTATACTGGATCCAAGCATGAAGATATAACCTCTAGTTGACCTTTGAGTGTTCAAATCACCAGCATAATCAGCATCACAAAATCCCATCAGCTTACATTCAGATTCCCTCTTAAAATGGATTCCATAATTGAGAGTAGTCTTAATATACCTTAATACCCTTCTAGCAGCCCCAAGGTGGGGGTTTCTTGGACTCTGCATGTAACGACTTAACACACCAACTACAAATGCAATGTCTGGTCTCGTTAAAGTGAGACATATAAGACTACCCACCAACTTTCTATACATTGTTGCATCATCTAACTCCTTACCCATGTTAGCACATAACTTAGCATTGTTATCCATGGGTGTTACAGCTCCCTTGTAATCAACCATTTTGAACCTCTTTAATAGATCAGTACAGTACTTATGTTGGTGCAGAATTAAACCATCATCATCATAGTTGATTTCTAACCCCAGAAAGTGTTTCAATTTCCCTAGGTCCTTCATGAAGAACCGAGTGCACAAGTTCTGTTTGAGCTGAGCTATCATGTCATCCAAATCACCTGTAATTATTAAGTGATCGACATATACAAGCACCATCACTACTTTGCTTCCAACTTTCTTCACAAACAGGCTAGCATCTGCAGATGTACTTGTGTATCCATTGTGTTCAAGAAATTCACCAATTTTCCCAAACCACGCCCTTGGAGACTGTTTAAGCCCGTACAACGCCTTCTTGAGCTTACATACATAATTAGGATGCTATTTGCTTTTGAATCCAAGAGGTTGTTCCATGTGAATGACATGATCCAAGTTTCCATATAGGAATGCATTACTTACATCCATTTGCCAAAGTTTCCATCCCTTGCTAGCTGCCAAAGCCAACAAAACCCTGATTGTAGTTAACTTCGCCACTGGGCTAAAAGTGTCCTCGTAGTCCAGCCCATATTGCTGTGAGAAGCCACAAGCTACCATACGGGCCTTAAATCTTTCGATTGACCCATCTGCATTACGTTTCACTTTATACACCCATTTACACGAGATGGGTTTCACTTCAGTAGGTTTTGGAACTAGTTCCCACATCTGGTTCCTCATTAAAGCAGCTACTTTTTCTTCCATTGCTATAACCCATTCTCGTTTAGTGGCAGCTTGATCATAAGTTTCTGGTTCAAACACATCTTCTTTTACTAAAGCAGCATTGACATATCTGGGATTAGGTTTTCTAAGTCTTGTAGACTTTCTGACACTTGTGGCTTCATGGTTCTCATTATCATTGCTGATTTCATTGTTAGCATTGTCTTGGATATCTTCATTATCAATAATGACTTCATCATTATTCAGGTGTACTCTTACTTTAGAGGATTCCACTTCATCTCTTAGGGTTTTAGAATCAGGAAGAGCTTTGTGATCAGTTGACCACCATGATGAAGTTTCATCAAATACCACATTCCTTGATACATAGCATCTACCAGAGGTAGGGTCACAACACTTCCAGCCCTTCCTTTCCTGGTCATAACCCACAAAGATACACCGAACAACCTTCTTATCCATCTTGTTGCGTAGATGGTTGGGTATGAACACATAACACACACACCCAAAGACACGAAGATGACTAACATTTGGCTTCAACCTCTTAAGCTTTTCAAAAGGAGACAAATAACCAAGACTTTGTTGAGGAATTTGGTTAATCACATAAGTTGCTGTCTTCATAGCTTCTGCCCAAAACTGACCTGGTACATTCTTGTCATGAATCATGCTTCTAGATATCTCGCCCAGATGTCTATTCTTTCTTTCGGATACTCCATTCTGTTGCGGAGTGTTTGGACATGTAAGTTGACGCTTGATCTTGTGTACCTTAAGAAAGTCACTGAATTCAGAGGTCAGATATTCCCCACCATTATCTGATCTTAAGCAACCAATATTATACTCAGTCTCTCTTTCAACTTCATTCTTGAATTCTTGAAACTTGGAGAACACTTCAGACTTCTCCTTCATGAAATACACCCATACGTATCTTGTATAATCATCTATAAAGGTCACCATGTATTTCAAACCTTTGATAGATGGTTTCTTAACAGGTCCAAATACATCAGAATGTACAAGTTCTAGAGGCAACTTAGACTTGTACTTTGAGTGTTCGAATGGTTGTTGATGAGCCTTTCCAAATTGACACCCGGCACACACTAAACCCTTTTTGACTTCAAGTTAAGGGAGACCTTTCACCATCTGCTTTTTGATCATCAAATCAAGCTTGTCATAGCTAACATGACTCAACCGCATGTGCCAAAGATCCACATTTTCATTCCTTTTTGTCTTCTCTACATAAGTTGTTTCGGCAGACATCACATAAATTGAGTCTGATCTTCTTCCTTTTAGAATTGGCTTTGATGGAGTCACAAATTCTTTGTAAATCTTCACATCATCAGGGCCAAACAATACATAGTGGCCAGCAGAAGCAAGTTGAGAGACAGAAAGAGATTCTTTTTCATACCTGGTACATGGTACACACCTTCAAGTTTTAGTTCCCTGTTATTGTCTTCTGAGCAAAACACAACATTGCCAATGTGAGCAATCGACAACTTTGAATTATCAGCTATCACTACTACTTTACTGCCTTCATAATTTCTGGATTCTTGCAACTTTTCATGCTCTCTAGTCATGTGATTAGAGCATCCGGAATCTACTATCCATTCTTCAAATTTGTTGCCACGACTCTCTACTGTTGCGTTAAATGCCACCTCTTCTTGGTCTTGAGTATAAAAAGCTTCTGCATCCCATGTTTCTTCTACTTGAGAAGTTGCAGCATTTCCTTCCTCAATGTTTTCTGAACGACAATCACGTGCCATGTGACCCCTACGCCCACAATTATTACACCTGAAAGGAAATCTTTTGTGGGAACGGTTACTCTTTGTCTTATCTTCAGACGATTCTCCTTTATCAAACTTACGACTCGTCTTTCTTTGTTCATGGTGTTTACTCTTGTCTGAATTCTTTTTAGACTGTGATTTATACTTCCCTTTACTTTTCTCTGCGTAAAGTGCTTCATCATCAGTCCTAACTGTGGCACCTCCCATCTGCTTCACTAAGGCTTCCTGTCCTACCAAGAGATTCTCAAACTCAACTAGTGAGGGTTGAGTTGCCCAACCTTGAATTGCAGTTACGAAGCTTCTAAACTCTGGTTTGAGACCATGTATAATGATCCTTTTCATCCTCGTTTCACTGATTTGAGACTGAGGATCAAGCTCCGTAATTTCTCTACAAGTAGACTTCACCTTGTGGAAAAACTGAGGAATTGTCATGTCTCGTTGAGACACAGACAATAGTTCATTCTCGAGTAACTGTAGTTTTGTATCGTTCTTCTTAGAGAATAGGGCTAACAACATATCCCATGCCTCTTTTGGTGTCGACATATCCCTGATATGCTCGAGTATATCTTCTTCAACGGTTGTCTTTAAGACGAACATTGTCTTGCCTGCCTTGATCTTCCATTTTCGTAGGTTTCCATTATTATCTTCTGCCTCAGGTTGTTTTGTTTCGGTCCCTTTCACAACTTCCCACAGATCCTATCCTTGCATATAAGACATGATGCAAGTTGACCATGTGTTATAGTTATGATTGTTAAGCTTCTTTACTCCACCAACAACTTGTAAATCAGCCATTGACAACCTGGCTCTGATACCACTTTGTTAGCTTTTAGCAAAGACAAAACACCTTTTGATACAACAGGTTTCAAGCAGAGCAAGTTTTAGAAGAAAGAGTAACTGACACACAAAAGTGTTTTCTGCATATATCAAAAGTAACGAAAGCTACATAGCATAAAAACAGAAGTAAAACTGAAAAAGAAAACTGCTGCTACCTAGAAAACAGGAATAAGGCTATGAAAACAAACTACCCACTAGCTTGACTAATTCAACAAAGCAATTACTGAAACATAAAGAAAATAACTGAAGAATAACAGAAGGCTTGCACGTGACTGGTTGACCAAGTTGATATTGTTCTCTTTTAACATTTAATAGTGTGAAAAACCAAGCGGTTTTGAAAAAACACATATGTTTTGGTTTTTTTGCTTTTAGAAAACCATATTTTTACAGACAGATTTATGAAATTGTAATCATGTTTCATGAGAGTCATTTGTTTACATATGTTATGTTATATTGTGTGACATGTTATATAAGCATTTTTTGTACATAATGATTTTATCATGTTTCATGAAATGCATGTTTTACAGATTATAAATGCAATATTTCCCTATAACAGAAAAAGAAAACAATGAACTAACCAAGTATAAAGCTACCTTCACATGTATCTCAGGAAGCTTCTAAGTTTGTGAGGCAATGAGAAGGTGTATAAAATCTTTAAAAGTTCAAAGAGTATCTAGTCGAGTTTTAAGAGTATATTGTTATTACTTTGAAATTGTTCAAGTCAGACTTGCACACATTTGATATTATGTATATACTTATCATTTAGTTATGGCTTCCACACTTTAATTTCATTGTTTATGATTGCAGGATTTGGATTAAAATGTAATACTATGTATTTGGGATTTTGGGGAGTGACTAGATTCAATTAGTACGTACCACTGCACAGCCTTAGGTTTTCTCTTTTAAATAATTAACTCGTCTAACATTCCTCAGTCAAAATATGAATAACAATAATCATAAACTTTTATTAATAAGATAGATTAAAAATACATTCCTTAAGAATTGACATTAGTTCTCAAGTTTCAAACTTAAATAAAAAGAAGCAGATTATTATGTGCTCTTACAACATCACCCCTTACCAAAACCATACTTGTAGAGCTAAAAGCTTTAAATAATAACTGACTCCGTGTCGACTCACCGGTTCTCACTCTTCAGTGACCATTAGCCAACTCGGTTGTCTTCTTGGCATAAAATCTCCTGTATTTGGAGTCAACTTCAGTCAAATAGTAAGTGCCCGGAGCCAAATGGCTAGTGTCCTTGCTTGTCACAAAGTCCTTCCCACCATATCTGTGCTCCATCAAGTGCATCAATTCGACAAATTTTTCCGGAACAACCTGCACATATAAATAATGATTTAGTTATAACCAGAACAGAACAGAACAGAACAGGATACAGTGTTTAATAGCATACCTCTGTCCTGGTCTTTAACTTATGGTCAATGTTCAGGACCTTTGCGATGTTTGATAAACTAAAAGGTGCTTTTCCCTCACTAAGATGTAGCGAAAACATTGTAGCGGATAATCCACTCCCGTATGAGAACATCATTACACGGTTTCCATCCTGAAAATTATAAAGAAAATAAAAAACACACTAAGTATTTGATTCTTTTATTATTATCTCTTGTTTCAGAGTGTAGAAAAGGAAAATGGCCTCAAAGATTCCCAACACAAACAAATTTGAAATCCGTAAATGAAAGTATTTAACAAGAAGTGTAAAACCAATGCATACCAGAGAGTCACTCTTGTTGTGAATGAGTGAAGCAAAAGCAGCATAAATAGATGCAGTGTACATGTTTCCCAGTTGCTTGGGGATCAAAGTTGCTGGCTTCACTTTTTTATCATAATCTGGTTTCGCCACTTGCTGGGCTGCCTGTAGATCATAAACCTCATTGGTTATTTGTTTTTTCTTTTAATTTATATAAATTTATTTATTAAAATAAATTGTTACCTTTTCAAGATCACGGCTTTGGTAGCTCTCGTCGCCCTTTAGAGACGTGAATTGACCTAACTTCTCTTTAGCAGACTCATCAACAGAGCTGAAAATATAAATAATTGTTAAGAAATAAAAATAGTGTTGAAAATTATTAATAACAGTGGTTTGAAATTTGAATAGCAAATTCGATAATCACCTGACATTTCTGGCAACATCATCGAACACCAAACGAGCAAAACTCTTCTGTACAAGCTGCATAAATTCAAATAAAAACTTTTAATTCAAACACACCAAATGACCATTTTACCCTTACAATCCAAAAAAAACAAATTTCACAACTATGTTCACTAAATAATTTACCTTGTTATACGGACTGTGAAACACAAAATAATCAGCATCCGCCATTGAAAATTGTTTCCCTTGAAGTTTCTCATACTTTTGACAGTATCCCTTGTAGCAAGAATCAAGAGCCATGAGATAACAAGTTTGGGACAATTTCCCATCAACAACTGGATATTCACTTGCAAGGTCTGGTTTATAAAAGTCATAAACATGTGACATATGACTTGCCCTAAATTTGCTTTCAAATGCAATTGGTGCATCGGGTCCAATCAGCATGGCAACAGCACCTGCCCCTCCTGTTGGTCGGGCAGCCCCCCTCAGCATAAACTGCACTGTCTGTGGAGACAACTAATCCATACCTTCCATCCCATGAACTGCTTTCCACCCAATTCACACAGTTGAATAATGCTGCAGTTCCACCATAGCACGCGTTGGTTGAATCCACACCTTCAATGTCTGTGTTTCCACATTCCTGTATAAAAATATTATTTTAGTATAATTGAAAAGAAAATGATATAGTCTCATTTATGTAACAAGTAATACCTCAAAGATTTGCATCAGGAAGGTCTTGATGGATTTGCTCTTGTCTATGACAGTTTCACTACCGACTTCAAGGCGACCGATTTGTTTTGGGTCGATTTCATACTTCTCTAGTAGTGATGTGACAGCTGTCAATCTGAAAATTAATGTGATGTTTATTGTCATGCTACTGATGATAAAAGCACTACGCATGAGTGATAAGTGAGTTTCTTTTTTTTTTTTTTTTTTTTTGTATGTGGAAAAGCATAGATATTGAAGAAAAAGGTATCAACCCCATAGAGATGACATCTTCAACCTCTGAACAAAATGCCATGCAATCTTGTCCGAGTCCAATGGTGTATTTTCCTTTACTAACTCCATCAAAATCTTCTAGGGTATCCTGTAAATTAGTTACCCAATAGGAATTAAACTACAGATAAGAGGGAAACACAAATACAATGCCTAAAAGTGAAAACAGGTCAAGTAGATAATAGATTTATTAACATGCTCTGGTTTGTCAGCTTAGAAACTTTAACTCTGGCATTGAAATAATTTCAGTTTCAAGTAGCAAAAAGATACTAGCATAGAAGAAATGTTTTGATGCATAAATGAGCACAAGGTTTCATATTTCGTCATGCTAGCTATGATTAAGTTTATATGTAGGGTTATAGCTGTGAATACTTATTGAGTCCTCCAATACTCTAGTAATGCTTCAGTTGTACATTAATGGAAACAACACTCTAGTGTCATATCCCATGTGCTTCTCTACTCTCTAGGACATTCTTGTATCTTATGGAAACTTTATGATGTTTGTAGTGGTCTTGCAGATAATGTGCTAAGACCTAGAAGCAGAACCTTCATATACTGAGAAACTAATACAAGTGTTGCGTGTAATACGTATGTGATTCTAAGCAAAAACAGTCCAGAACTCCATAAAAGTTCAACTTTCTTCTCAAAAGCTCAGAATATGGATCTATATTGTTGGATCCAGTCGTCAAATTTCTTGGAGGTCAAATAGAATAAAGTCAAACTTAGTACAGATAAGGCTACATAGATACCAACCATTTATGTCAAACAATGGTGCATATGACTACCAGAAAACAACAATATTCATGAGCTTATAATATTATATTTGATAAATAGATTACGCATGTCCAATCAAACCGCCGATCTTCACTCTATTTCCATTTAACTCGTAGTGAAATAGAACTTCGTGTATCCCAAAATGTGTTGTTCTTTGCATAAACCCAAAACAAACAATAAATTTGCCAATAACAATAGAGATTCATAGCTATTATGTTGTATGGAAACAGCAGGTAAACTTATTGAAGAACGAGTTTAAACCGCTCGAAGAACACAGGCTGCCGTACAAGCGTACCGATGTATAATAGATCATCAAAGTAAAAAACAAAAGAAGAACAACCGTACCTGTTTGATACAAGTAGGAGGGAAGTAGATTTCCATGGCGAGAATTCCAACATTTTGAGGAGCCATCTCTGTTTCGAACTCTTCTTCGATCTTCAATAGAGTTTTAATCAGAGATTAACTGAATCACAAACACAACTACGACAAACAGCAGATCGAAAGTCGAAACGATGAATTAACGATCTCAACTTCTGTTATCAATTTCTGATTTCACGCCGTTAGAATCTTTTCTCGGAAAGTCGAGAGAGAGGGATGAGGAGGCGTTACATGCTGATGCTACATATTTATAGCAATCACAAGAACTTGCTGACTATGGATCTCACTAACCCTTTACCCTCACTCTTTCGTTAATTTACATTTTTTGCCATTACGAAAAAATACAATAATATGGTGCTTAAACCGCTTAAAAACAACATAAAGGTCCCCTGCATTAACAGTATACACCTAATTAAAGAATTCCGAATTTTGTTGAATGTTAAAAACTTAGAACATCTATTAAATATAGTAATATAAAATTATTTATAGCTTTAAAATTTTAAATAAATATCATTGGTTTTATACAATGGTCAATTACGTAATTTTTGGAATAAAACTAATAATGGCACGTAGTAAATGATGGTCCACATCATCATTAACTTATTATAACAACTTTTATAATGATATCTGATACGTTACTAATTTCTACAAAATTTAAACATGAATTAGTTTTTGATATTTTATTCGAACCACAGTTTTTATTATTTAAATGTAAAAAATATGGATCCATGTAACTATGTAAGGTCCACAGAGGTATGCTGGTCCAACATAGTCAAATGTGGCATGCAATGCAGTAGGAGCCGAAGAGTGCTGAGGTGGCCTAAAAGACTTCGCCATCATGGCTTACCACTGGGCACTGGACACCGGTGACATGGGAGACTCTTTTGTTATTTGTTTTTGTTACATTTTAATATATTATATAAGTCGGTTTATAATAAAAATTTATTAATATAACAATAAGACATATAATTTAGAGAAAATGACAAAAATAGCCAATTATCCTAATCACTTTGCGGAAAATAGCAAAAAAAATCGAATTTGCAAAAATGGCCATGAAAATCGCAGATGGGAATGGTCCATCTGCGATTTGCACATTCCATCTGCGAATGTACAAGTGGCTAAAGCACACTTGCTAAAGCACAAGTGTGCTTTAGCCACTTGTACATTTGCAGGTGGATTGAATTTTTTTTAATTTTTTTTTGTATATATAGGGCATTTCAGGGTTAAAATCGCAGATAGACTGTGTCCATCTGCGATTTGCTCTGTATTCCATCTGCGAATTTGTGTTTTTTTTTTAATTTTTTTTTAATTTGACTATGAAATCAATTGGTTTGACTACGAAATAATGTTACTATATATAACTTTTGTAGAAAATTATCAGTTTAGTTGTTATTTGTTTAGGAAATTTCTCTAAAATCTCTCTAAAAAAATAATTGAATATTTGGTTTGTCTTGTAACCGGTGGGAGATGGGAAGTTATTGAAACACATCTGGAATACGTATGTCCACAGGGAGGTATTTCTGAATTTGCTTTGATATTTTCTGAGTATATTAGTTATAGTGATTTTGTATCTTTGGTGAGAAGCAAAATTGGTTTGTTAGACAAATATAAAATTAGTCTTCGTTTCCATCATCCTGAATTAAATTATTATATAGCTATAGTTGAAGACATGGATATTAGAATGTTGATAAATGTAATCAAATGTAGTGGAGGAAGGGCTGTGAAAGTGTTTGTGGTGGTTGATGAAGTAGATGAGGTTAATGAGGGTGGTCACAGTGAAATCAGCCGGTTGGTAATTTATGCAGCTATAAAGGGAGCAACGATCCGATAGGTACTTTCAATACTCCTAGTGTACCTCAGTTTCACAGTGTTGCTGAAAATGTTAATGTTAGTTATTCACCTATTAACTATGTGGATCCTGAGAATTACAAGTATGTTGGTGATGATGATGTTGGTACATATCTTAATGATGTGGGTGGTCGTTGTGATGATGTTGCCGAACAAGAAGTTAAAGTTATGAATAGGCGTTGTAGTAGATAAAAGTAAAAAGAAAAAAAATTTCGAGTCAAAAAAATGAAAAAAAAGCATGTTTACGGGGATTATGTTGATGTTGCTGATGTACGTTTAGATATAACCGACTACAAAGCAATTCAGATAGAGATGAGTTGGGTGATGAAGTTAAAGCTAAGTTTCCCGATAACCTTTTTTACGGTATGCCCCCTGTACCAGCATGCCCAGTTGATATTAATGAAGATATCCCAACACAGATGGTAGACATGAATCTTCAAAAGATTGAATGTGAGAGTATATTTAAGAACAAAGAACTTTTAAAGCGGTTTGTATTGGTAAAAAATGTCTTCGAGAAGGTTTTCAGACGAGGACAAGTAGATCCACCAAATCAAGGTATGAAGTTGTGTGTGTTTCGAAAATTGTTCTTGGTTACTAAGAGCAAAAGCAATTAAAAATTCTGATGGACTTTTCCAAGTGAATAAATTTGTTGATGTACACACATGTTCTTCAACAATTTTGCAACCTAATCATCGACAAGCAAACAAATATGTTTTGGGTGAATATCTTGCTGATGTTTTGGCTGAAGACTATAGTAGAGTTTATCGGGGAAAAGATATTATTAATGATATGAATGCTCAATTGAATATCAATATCTCATACCATCAGGCATGGCGTGCGAAGCAATATGCATTGTTGTTGTTAAGGGGTACGAAAGAAGATTCTTTTACCAAACTTCCGGCGTATTGTCACAATTTGGTCAAACATAATCCGGGTACGGTGACACATATTAAAACAGATGGTGATGATCGCTTTGAGTTTTTGTACGTCGCACTCGGTTGCTCGGTTAGTATTATAATATTTTATTAATTTTTCATTTTTATTTTGGTGTATTTGAATAGATATACAATGTATTGTAGGTACGCGCTTTTGTCAAATTTTGTAAACCGACCCTAGTAGTAGATGGAGCCCACCTAAAGGGCGAGTTCAAAGGTACCATGTTACTTGCAGTTACTAAGGACGGACAAAACCAAATATTACCGGTTGCATATGGTATATGCAAAAATGAGTGTACCGATTCTTGGACATGGTTTTTTCAAAAACTACGTGATTGCATAGGAAATATGCAGGAGCTTACAATTATATCTGATAGGTCTCCATCTATAGCAACATCCGTTGCCAACATTTTTCCTCACGCTCATCATGGAATATGTGGTGTCCATTTGTATTTCAACATAGTATCTAGATTCGGGAAGAGTAACACAGTTAAAGGAATTTTTTGGGAGGCTTGTAGGGCGTACACAGTTGATGCTTTTGACGCTGCCATGGATGTTATGAAAAAGACAAAAGAACCAGTATGGGAGTACTTAAAAAGTATAAATCCAGAAACTTGGTCAAGGGCACATTTTAAAGGGAACCGATACAATCTTATGTCGTCCAACAGTGCGGAGTCTATAAATGCATTATCTAGACACGCACGTAAGGTGCCAATACTTATGTTGATCGATTTTTTCGTGCAACAATGCAACAATGGTGGTTTCAAAGACGTAACTTTGCAGGTATTAAGTAAATTTTTAATATTAATGTTTTATTAATTTAATGTTATTGATCTTAACTTCTTCATTTTGCCTGTTTTTTTAGCGGAACAACAACAATACTTACCCCTTGGGCCATGAAATTGTAAAAGAAAACAAAAAAACTTTTACTAAGTGGGATGTTCGCATGATCTCAAATACGAAATGCGAGGTCAAAAAGGGGGCACAAAATGTGATTGTTGATTTCCAACATATGACATGTACATGTAGGCATTGGCAACTTGATGGGATACCTTGTGGTCATGTCATAAGATGTTTAACAGTGAACAATTACCAAGACTGCTCGAGGTATGCATTAAATGCTTACTTTACCGAAACATTGAGGAAAACGTATGAGGAATCAATAAATCCTTTGCCAAAGCCATCCGAATGGGATATCCCCGATGATTTGATGATTGTTAAGCCACCTATAATGGATAAACGTCAGCCAGGCAGGCCAAGAAACACAGACCGCATTCCATCCCAAGGCGAGGGTCCAATTAGAAAAGAGTGTTCTACATGTGGTCAACTAGGACACACGAGAAACAATTGTACTGGAAGGGCGTCCGGTAGTGGAGCACGTCACACAATTTCTACTGCAGAAATGGCATTTAATATTGGTGGTTCAGCGAGTTGCTCACAAACCTATGACGCTGATTTTGATATAAAACAACCTTGAAATGAAGAGTTGTTAACTTATTATGTATTGTAATTTTTTTATTAAATCTTACAAGACATTGCTATGCTTTCATATTTTAGTTTAGTTTGTAGATTATAACAATTAATGAAGCTTTTATATTATAAAATTTAGTTTGCAGATTATAACAATTACAACATGTTATTTAAAAAAAACAACAAACGATCCTTTTGCAACCTAATCTGTATCATGATAATATTACAACAATTTTGTAACTAATTTTTAAACTCAGGGAACTGCAATGGGTACTTCTCTTTCTCCATTGTTATATAGTCATCCCTAATTCTCATTTTGTCTTCCAAACGATCCTTTTGCACCATAATGTGTATCAACTGCTCGTCCTTCTCAGCAAGCCATTTTTCAGTCGTTTTGATTGCCTTCTTAGTATTTTTTATCCAATCTTCATGCTCTTTGATTTTGTTTTTATTGAGGTCTATCCATTCTTGAGCTTGTTTGCATTCCGATGCAATATCATTACCACGTTGAGTGAGAAGTCGGGATGACTCTTTGTCCTCTTCTTGTTGTTCTTCAGCCTTCTTCAATTCTTCAAAATTTCATCTGACATATATGGCCCGCTGAAGAGGGTGTAAAAAAAGGGTCGACTGAATCACAGTAGTAACAATCTACTTCGTTGCATGAGCAAACTTCGAATTTGTGTGAGGAACTCATAATAAAGTCGACATTATAATAAACTGGTGCTATAAGTGGTATTTATACATACTAGTCTAAATGCTACCATTTCGTAGTCAGAGTTCTAATTCATAGTCCAACTTTGAAATGACTAGACATTAATGACAAGTCACTGCAGTAACCTGCAAATCGTAGTCAAACTCTTAAGTGACAAGACATAAATGACTGTTTGACATGATAAGTCACTGCAGAAAGCTGAAAATCGTAGTCCAAATGCAACCATTTCGTAGTCAAAGTTGTAATTCATAGTCCTGTATTTATTTATA